TTCTTCTTCTTCTTCTTCTTCTTCTTCTTCTTCTTCTTCTTCTTCTTCTTCTTCTTCCTCCTCCTCCTTTTCCTCCTCCTCCTCCTCCTCCTCCTCTTCTTCCTCCTCCTCTTCCTCCTTGCTCTCCTCCTCCTCCTCTAATTATTATTATTTTGAATGAATTAATGAATGAACTAACATCCAAATGCTACACTCCTCCTGGTCTCTCCCTCACTGATTCCCTCCTCTGTCCCCTTCTCTTTCTCCTCTGAGAGGGTTGAACACCCTATAGGTATCCTCCACTCTGACAATCAATTCTCTGCCTGATTAGACACATCTCTTCCCACTGAGGCCAGACAGGACAGCCATGAAGACTGAGCTACCTGTTTGCTACATACATGCTAGTGGTGGGGGCTCAATCTAACCCATGAGAGCTCCCAGGGATCTATGTTTGTTGACTCTGTTGGTCTTCCTGTAGAGGGTTCCATATATTTCTGGATCTTACATCCTTCCCCCAACTCTTCCATAAGTGTCCCTGACTTCTTTCTAATGTTTGGCTGAGGGTATCTGCTTCTGTTTCAGTTTGCTGCTGGGTAGAGACTCTTAGATGGCAGTAATGCTATACCCCTGTCTATAAGCATAACAGTATCATTAATAATGTCAGGGATTAGTGCTTTCCACTGGGATGGGTTTTGAGTTGGGCTGGTTATTGATTGGCCTTTCCTTTAGTCTCTGCTCCATTCCTGTAATTTTTTTTTAGACAGGACAAATTTTGGGTTGAAATTTGGGTGAGTTGGTGTCCTGGTCCTTCCACTGGATGTCCTGCCTGATTACAGGGGGTGGCCTCTTCAGGTTCCACGTGTGCACTGCTAGGCAACTCAGGATTGTTTAGGATTGTTTTGGCTATCCTGTTTTTTTTTTCCTATATGAAATTGAGAATTGTTCTTTCAAGGTCTGTAAAAAAATTTTATTGGAATTTTTATGGGGATTACTTTAAATCTGTAGATGGCTTTTGTTGAGATGACCATTTTCACTATGTTAATCCTACCAATCCATGAGTATGGGAGATTGTTTTCATCTTCTGAGATCTTCAATTTCTTCAGAGAATTTCTTGTTGTGCAGATCTATTCCTTCTTTGGTTAGAGTTATACCTAGATATTTTATATTATTTGTAGCTATTGTGAAGGGTGTTTTTCTCTTAATTTCTTTCTCTGTCCATTTATCACTTTCATAAAGGAAGGCTATTGATTTCTTTGAGTTAATTTGATATTCAGCCACTTTGCTGAAGTTGTTTATCAGCTATAGGAGTTCTCTGGTAGAATTTTGGGAATCACTTATGGGTACAATGATATCCATGAATAGTGATACTTTGACTTCTTTTTTTTTAGCATCAGCTATGACTTCTTCCTTTTGAATGTTTATTCCCTAGTTTCCTTTTGTTGTCTTGTTGCTCTACTAGAACTTCAAGAACTATATTCAATAAATAGTGGGAGAGTGGGCAGCCTTTTCTTGTTCCTGATTTTAATGGAATTATTTTCCAAGACTTTTACCATGAAGGGATGTTGAATTTTGTCAAATGCTTTCTCAGCATCTATTGAGATGATCATATGTTTTTTTCTTGGGGTTTGTTTATAGTGGATTACATTGATGGATTTCTGAATATTGAACCATCCGTGCGTTCCTGGGATAAAGTCTACTTGATCATGATGTATGATTGTTTTGATGTGTTCTTGGATTCAGTTTGCTAGAATTTTATTGAGTATTTTTGCATTTATATTCATAAGGGACATTGGTCTGAAGTTCTCTTTCTTTGTTGGGTCTTTGTGAGGTTTAGGTATGAGCATGATTATTGCTTCATAGAAGGAATTGGATAGTGTTCCTTCTGTTTCTATTTTGTGGAATAGTTTGAAGAGAATTTTTGTTAGGTCTTCCTTGAAGGTCTGATAGAATTCTGCACTAAAACCATCTGGTCCTGGGCTTTTTTTGTTGAGGAGACTTTTAATGACTGCTGCTATTTCCTTAGGGGTTATGGGACTGTTTAGATGGTTTATCTGATCCTGATTTAACCTTGGTACCTGGTATCTGTCTTGAAAGTTGTCCATTTCATCCAGATTTTCCAGTTTTGTTGAGTATAGGATTTTGTAGTAGGATCTGATGATTTTTTTTTAATTTCCTCAGTTTCTTTTGTTATGTCTCCCTTTTCATTTTTGCTTTTATTAATTTGGATACTGTCTCTGTGCCCTCTGGTTAATCTGGCTAAGGGATTATCTATCTTGTTGATTTTCTCAAAGAACCAGCTCCTGGTTTTGTTGGTATTTTGTATAGTTCTTTTTGTTTCTACTTGGTTGATTTCAGCCCTGATTTTGATTATTTCCTGCAGTCTACTCCTCTTGGGTGTATTTGCTTCTTTTTGTTCTAGAGCTTTCAGGTGTGCTGCCAAGTTGTTAGTAAATGCTCTCTCCAGTTTCTTTTTGTAGGTACTTAGAGCTATGAGTTTTCCTCTTAGCACTGCCTTCATTGAGTCCCACAAATTTTGATATGATGTTTCCTCACTTTTGTTAAATTCTAAAAAGTCTTCAGTTTCTTTCTTTATTTCTTCCTTGACTAAGTCATCATTGAGTAGAGTGTTGTTCAGTTTCCACATGTATGTGGGTTTTCCATTGGTTTTGTCATTATTAAAGACCAGCCTTAGTCTGTGGTGATCTGATAGAATGCAAGGGATTATTTCAATCTTTTTGTATCTGTTTAGGCCTGTTTTGTGACCAATTATATGGTATATTTTGGAGAAGGTACCATGAGGTCCTGAGAAAAATGTATATTCTTTTGTTTTAAGATGAAATGTTCTATACATATCTGTTAAATCCATTTGGTTCATAACTTGTGTTAATTTCAATGTGTCTCTGTTTAGTTTCTGTTTCCATGATATGTCCATTGCTGACAGTGGGGTGTTGAAGTTTCCCACTGTTATTGTGTGAGATGCAATGTGTGTTTTGAGCTTGTAAAGATTCTTTTATATATGTGGGTGCCCTTGCATTTGGAGCATAGATATTCAGAATTGAGAGTTCATCTTGATAGATTTTTCCTTTGATTAGTATGAAGTGTCCTTCCTTATCTTTTTTGATTACTTTTGGTTGAAAGTTGATTTTATTTGATATTAGAATGGCTACTCCAGTTTTCTTTCTTGGAACCATTTGCTTTGAAAATTGTTTTCCATCCTTTTACTCTGAGGTAGTGTCTGTCTTTGTCACTGAGGTGCATTTCCTGTATAGCAAAATTCTGGGTTCTGTTTGTGTACCCAGTTTGTTAGTCTACATATTTTTATTGGAGAATTGAGTCCATTGATGTTAAGAGATATTAAGGAAAAATGATTGTGGCTTCCTATTATTTTTGTTATTAGAGGTAGAATTATGTTTGTGTAGCTATCTTCTTTTGTAGTTGTTGGAAGATTAGTTCCTTACTTTTTCTAGGTTGTATTCTCCTTCCTTGTGTTGGCATTTTCCATCAATTATCCTTTGAAGTGCTGGGTTTGTGGGAAGAT